CGTTACTGTTGGCCTGAGAGGTCCAACGAATGAGTTCAAAGTTATACCGGCAAGCGCTGTGGGCCAGGCATGCTGTGCAACATGTGGCGGCACTGACGGAGGTCAGCCCTTCCTTCGACTGGGCTGTGCGCGCTGGTCAGTCCTCCCTTCGTCTGGGCTGGGCACGCTGACCAGCCCTCCCTTCGACTGGGCTGTGCGCGCTGTCTAGTCCTTCCTTCGACTGGGCTGTGCGCGATGGCCAATCTTCCCTTCGACTGGGCTGTGCGCGACGGTCAGTCCTCCCTTCGTCTGGGCTGTGCGCGCTGGTCAGCCCTCCCTTCGACTGGGCTGTGCGCGCTGGTCAGCCCTCCCTTCGAAGGGGCTGTGCTCGCTGGTCAGTCCTCCCTTAGACTGAGCTGCGCGCGCTGGTCAGCCCTCCCTAAGACTGGGCTGCGCGCGCTGGTCAGTCCTCCCTTCGTCCAGGCTGGGCGCGCTGGTCAGCTCCTGCCCATCAAAATAGTAGTGACCAACCACCATGACTCGGTAATCTTTTTACTCAGTAGCATATTTAGACCATCAGACCAGTCAGAGCATTCAGAGATAAATATTTATGTTTGTTACTGCTGGAGTGCCCAACAAAACTGTCTGACCACGTGCTAGCTTTGGTCGTGCTAACATGGCAACATTGCAAACGCAATGTCACGTTCGCAATAACGCTGGGTGACGTTTCATCATTTGCGCAGAGACAAACCACATCACAGCGTGACGTCATCTCATCTCTCATCTCCCTGTGGCATCTTACACAGCCACTCTCATCTGAATCAACGACTTCCAGCCCGGGTCAGGGGTGTCGATCAACAGCGACTCCAAGGTCGCGACATTCTGGCACCGCTGGAGCGCGATGTCCGTGATGAACGTCCTCGTCAACCCCGCTTGACTCATCCTCGGCGGGGGCGAACCCACGATGGACAGCGGCGTCAGCGGCCGAGACGTCGGCCATCTGTCGGTCGCCGGCGCAGGCTGAGATTTACGGGACGGACGCCGGGCCATCGCCGTCTGCGGCGCGGCGCCGCCGGTCCCGGCTGCCGTCCCAGCGCGCGGTCAGCCTGCCGGCAGCTGCCGGCAAGCGGCGATGCGCCGGGCGCGTCGTTGCGAGCGGCGCGGGCCGCGCGGCGCCCTAGCTCGCGCGGACAGCGGTCCGTCGGCGACCATCTCCGGCCGTCAGCCGGGCACCTGACACCGGGCTCAGCCGCGCCGGCCCGGCTTGTGGGCAAGGAAAACAGGCGGCGTGCCAGCCAAACCGGCCGCCGCCAGCCTGGACCGCTTCCAGCGCCGCTGCGCCTGACCCGGCCAGCCACCCCGCTCGGGCGCCGCGCGCCGGCCGCCCCACAGTCTGCTGTTTGTGCGTACCACCACCCCGTCATTACAGCAAACTGCAGGCCACGTGGGGCGCTCCAACATCTCGCGGTCGTCACGCCACCGCGAATGTGCACCCATGCAGGGCGTGCCGCACACAGAGCAGCTTAAGAACATAGCTGACATGGACAATTATCAAAATAATTGAGCACGTCGACGTCCACCGAAGCAGTGGTGCACTGCGGACCGTTCGCTAAACTCTCCCGAGGCGTAAGCTGTGAGACAGAGCAACGTGCGCCGCTCCAGCCACCGCCCTCTGACACGGAGCATCCCACTGAACACGTCGGGCAGTACGGAAACTAATCAGCACCGGCTCGCCGCCCTCTGACACAGAGTATCACAACGAACACGCTGGCCAGTCTGGAAACTGGTCTATACCGGCTAAGGTCAGGAGCCCGCCACTCACGGCCACATAACGCCTCGGGAACGTGTTACTCACGGCCAGACGATGCTGGGAGTCTGGCACCCTTTGCCAGTTAACGCTAGAAGCGCATCAGTCTAGCCACGTGTCAGTCTTGGCCAGCCAACGCCGGGCGCATGTCAGTTTCGACCAGCCACGCCAGTCTCGACAAGCCAATACCGGAAGCATGGTAGTCTCGGCCAGCCACGAGTCAGTCTCAGTCAGCAGGAGCATCGACCAGCCAACAACAGGTTCGCGCCAATCTCGGCCAGCTGACACCAGGATCGTGTCAGTCTCGGTCAGCCAATACCAAAGGCGTGTCAGTCTCGACCAGCCACGTGTCAGTTTCGGCCAGTCACGTGTCAGCTTTGGCCAGCCACGTGTCAGTCTCGGCCAGCCAATTGTCAGTCTCGGCCAGCTAAGTTTCACTTTCGGCCAGCTTTGTGCCAGTCTCAACCAGCCAACACCACGATCGCACCAGAATCGGCCAGCCAACACCAAGATTGCGCCAGTCTCGGCTAGTCAACAACAGGACGGCGCCAGTCTCGGCCCGCCTACACCAGGAGTGTGTCAGTCTCGGCCAGCTGTGTGCCAGTCTCCACCAGCCAACACCACGACTGCGCCAGTCTCGGCCAGCCTACACCAGGATCGTGTCAGCCTCGGCCAGCTAACACCAGAAGCGTGTCAGTCTCGACCAGCCAAAACTAGGACCGTGTCAGTCTCGGCCAGCCTACACCAGGAGTTTGCCAGTCTCGGCCAGTCACGCGTCGTCTCGGCCAGCCAACACCAGTAGCGTGTCAGTCTCGGCCAGTCACGCGTCGTCCCGGCCAGCCTACATCAGGAGTGTGCCAGTCTCGGCCAGCCTACACCAGGAGCGTGCCAGTCTCGGCCAGTCACGCGTCGTCTCGGCCAGCCTACACCAGGAGCGTGTCAGTCTCGGCCAGTCACGCGTCGTCCCGGCCAGCCTACACCAGGGGTGTGCCAGTCTCGGCCAGCCTACACCAGGAGCGTGCCAGTCTCGGCCAGTCACGCGTCGTCTCGGTCAGCCTACACCAGGGGTGTGCCAGTCCCGGCCAGTCACGCGTCGTCTCGGCCAGCCTACACCAGGAGCGTGTCAGTCTCGGCCAGTCACGCGTCGTCCCGGCCAGCCTACACCAGGAGTGTGCCAGTCCCGGCCAGCTGAGGCGGCGCAGCCAATGTTCCAACAACTGAGGTGTTGCCCACTCGTCGGGTTATTTCTCGACACATGCAGCTGCTGAGGGCGCTAGCGTCACAGCCCCGGCGGTGCGAACACGAGCGTAACCCGAGGCAGGCTCGTGAGCTGCCTCGGCGAGCGCTATCGCCTGGCGTTATCCGATGACGTCACGTTGGTGGCGGCCCGACCGTTCAGCTGCCGGCGGCCCGCTACGGCCGATATCCTAAGTACGGGCCGTGACAATACAGAGCCAGCACATGAGCCGGCGAGTCACGTGATCCATCCGCAACCAGACACCAAATGGCGGCGCCTTTAGCGCCTGCTTCGCAGCTAGAACCCGGATCCAAGTCACGGAGATGTATCGACACCGGACGTCGCATTTCCAGCTCCGGACTCGAGGCTACGGCAGTTGCTAACGAATTCACGGCGATGTGAGGGCCTAGTCGAGCCAGCGCGGCATCTGGTCTGGCGACGGGCCAGCCGATGTCGCCGCCGGTCGGCCGGCTGGCCGGCCCAGGCCTACTGACCTTGCACCAGGCGATGTTGCTGCAGGAGCCGCCCCAGCCGCAGTGGACGGCCGGGCAGGCCGGCTCGCCGCCGCCGTAGCGGGCGCGGATCTCCTCCAGCGCCGAGTCGAAGCTGGACGAGCGCTTACGGAACGGCTGGCCGGGGTCGCACCAGGGCGGGTCGTACGCCAGCGGCGCCAGCGGCGAGCAGCGGCCGCCGCACGGCACCGCCGCCACCGACGGGATCGGCGACAGGTGGGCGTACGACGGGTGCGTCGGGTAGGCCGGCACGTACGGCGCCGGGTACAGCGGCGACAGCGGCGGACGGGGCGGCGGCGGCGCGGCGCCGGCCGCCGGCACCGGTCGCGCCGGCGAGGCGCGCCGCGGCCGCGGCGGCTTGCCGGTGATGCGGCGCAGCTCCGGCGGCGTGCCGCCGCCGGGCTCGCCCGGCAGCGACGGCGACGGCGTGCGCGCGCCCTCGGTGGCGCGCCGCTGGTCTCGTGCTTCGATGTAGCGGTCGAGCGCGGCGATCATGCTGCGGTAATCCGCGTGCACGTCTGCCGCCGGCCGGTCTGGCAGCGGCGGCGCACGCCGCGCCGGCGGCGGCGAATCGTCCGTCACGAACTCGCCGCGTTCGAACGAGTTCACCAGCCGAGACACAACACCGCCGCCCGGCGGCGCCGGCGCCGGCGCCGCCTCCGACTCCAGCACGTCGCTGAGCCAGGAGCGGGCGCCGACGGGCACCGAGAACGGGTCGGCGCCGGCCATGACGGCACGCCACTGGCGGCCGGCGCCGGAGGCCGGCCGACGGCGGCCGACGCGCAGGCGCCCGCCCGCGCGCCCGCCCGCCGCCGTCGGCCGGGCGGCGAACAACAGCGAGCAGACAGGACGGCGGCCACCTCCCCCGTCACGCGCCCGCCCGCCTCCCACGTGCGAGGCATCTCGTGCGCCCGCGACCGCAGTGCACTGAAAGCGTCCTCCACACCCAGCCGGCGGCGGGCGCGGGTCCGGCCCGCACATCACGGGTGGCTGCAGCCGTCGCACTGCATTGGGTAGACGGCTTCCCGCCGGGCGTGTCTGGCCGGCGGGCGGTACCGGAGCTGCACGACACGTGGCGACGGCTCTGCAGCGCCACTGTTCTACGGCTCGGCCGCAGCGGCCCTCCAGCCGGCGGTGCCACCTCATGCGCTTGGTCTCCCCTCCCCTCCCCCCCCCCCCCCCCAGCGTCCGACCCATTCGCCTCTCCTGAATCGAGCGCGAGCGCGCACGGCTCAGTCCAAACGGACGCATTGGTCAAACGTGCGTACGTCGGCGTGCCGTCTCGTAGCCGGCCAGGCGTGGATCACAAGCCTGAGATGACAGCTCGGCGAACGGCTTGACGTGCGGAGATCGCCGGAGCTGCCCGAGCAATGACGAAGCCCGCGGTAACGCCCGCATTCCAGGTCATGAAATCTGAAGTCTTGTCTTGATCCATCGATGTCTGGATGCCGCAACAAGCCAGGGAAGCTGTCCGATGAGTTTATTTTATCGCAGATTTCCCCGCAAGCGAAGCAGGTGAGACCGCATTCCAATTTAAGACGGTGCGGACCGTGCCAGCAGGCAAACACATGTAATTAACAGACTGGACAGCAAGTCCCTGCTGGGACGGAACATGCTGGGCGTTGGTCGCCTCTGCCATAGCACTCCTGACGCGAAGCACCGCACCAGATGCATCTCAACGTGGGACGTGGTAAACTCCTGCCACGAGGTGACGACAGCAAACTAACACCTGTCCACCAGCCCCCTCCCCCTAGCTCGCGCTGCATCCAGCTACCCCTCGTAACCAGGGGTCCTCTTGGGCTCGACGAACGTGGTGAGGAACGTCTCGAGCGACTCCTGCTGCGGCAGACATGGCCCGAACACCTCCAGCAGCAGCGGCTCCATCTTCACCGTCGCCTCGTAGTCCTCGAACGAGACGAAGCCGTCGTGATTGACGTCCAGCTTCTTCATCACCAGGTCGATGAGGTCGCGCACGCCCTCCTCGGGGTCCTCCTCCTGCGGATTCTTCATGACGCTGTTCTTGAGCAAGTGGTAGACCTCGTCACGCGCCAGAGACCGGTCGCCGTTGAAGTCGTACACAGCGAAGCAGTAGTCGATACGCTGCTGCAGCGTGCCGCGCAAGAACACCGACAGGCCGGTCACCCACTCCTCGGCGCTGATCAAAACCGTCGTTGTCCTTGTCGAAGACGCGGAACACCCGGTCCATCAGCATGTCGTCGGTCATGTCGAACGTGTTATGCAGGACGTCGCGAAACTTGCTCCGATCCAGCCTGTCTGTTTTCGGCCGCAAGGTCTTCTTAAACATCAGCAGCAGGGCCTCGATCTCATTTCGATTGAAATGTGTTGCCTTTACCAAGATGTCGAGCATCTGGTTCTGCGTCTTCTTTGATCCAATCAACGCCATTCTTGCACTGTGGTGTTCACTTCCAGCAGCTAACTTTTAAAGATGCTACCACATAATTCAAGAAATTTCACTCTTTCACGCATCGCACGGGACTTACCAGAGGATGCTTGACATCCAACGTCTCACGAATAGTAGGTGAGGGTACTAAAATTCGTATTGTTAGGTATGAAGCTTCCACAAAGTATTACAGTCAAATTCTTGCCACCAATGTTTTGTTCAATGCGACCACACCGGTGACACGTGCAAAATCAATGCTAGCTCCCGCAGTTCCATAACATATTGGATTTTTTTCACATCTTTTAATCTCCGGTGCGCAGACACATCACTCCAACATACCTCACGTCAACACCAGCTGAACTATCTTCCAACGAACTTCACAAGACAACAGCCAGAGGCACGAGCTTCGCCGCGCCGTGAACGGCGCCAACGTCGTAGTCTAGCTACTAAAGGAATGCACCTCTGGGAACATTCGAACGGCGTCGGCTGAGTGATCTGATCGAACACGCGCCGGAGCCCGCGGCGCCGGCCGCCTCCGCAGTCATGGCAACGGGTATAGGTGGCGCCTCCGTCCAGACCGTGGCCACGCCCCGAACGGTTAGAGTTGGAGACGCCCTCCCTTGAATTGCAGTGGTAGAACTAATGGTCGGCGCTCATCCCAACGGTCGGGACGACACCAGTGACCAAACCTTTTTCCTAACAAGAGCAATGCTCAGCTCTTTGTTCCACAGGCGGTGGGGACAGCTGCGTTGGGACACCCCTCCCCCACGACCGCGGTAGTGCTTAGCGCTCAAATCCTGCGATGAGGCGGCAGCCGTGGCCAGTGACCTCTCCCACAGGCGGACGTGGGGAGGGGGTAGCCGGTCATCGGAGCTGGCTTCGCCGCCGACCCCAGCAGACTGGCGCGTGGGAGCGACGGTCCCAGTTCCTCGGCGTCGACAGCGTGTTTGTTTTCTTCGTGCGGAAACGCCGTGCCTCAGACAACTACGCCGTTGTGGCTGCTGAATTCGGCGAACGAGAAGAAACAAACCGACCGCCTGAATGTGAATAGTGCCGCGGACGATTCTTCGCGCGAGTAATCGATTCTGCATCCAGCTGCACCCAGCAGCTCTATCCGAATGCCGCACATACACCTTATCAATGGACCGGGGCTGAAGCCATAATGGAGAGAAAAATGGCAAAGACATCACAAAAATCCCGCAAAAAGCACCAAAATCAAACAGCTGCAGCAGCTTGACAGCCCTCGCTCGCTCGTGGCTCGATGCCGCGTGGCACTGGGCGAGCTTGGCGGACCGGCTGGATCCTGCCTCTTCTGAGCCGCGCTGGGCGGACGGCCGCCGGACACCACTGATCCGCCCCGAGCGCCGCACTGCCAGAACCAGTCCAGCCAGGCTTGTCAATAGGATAGGGGGAGTGGCACAGCAACAATCCTCATGCTGTGGACAAGCAACGCGCGGACTCGGCGCCCGTGCCCTTGTGTCAACCCACCGGAAGTGGGGCACGTGCCCTGTGACGCATCTGATGACACATTGCTGTATATGCCTGTCGGGTTCTTAGCGTCACCATGAGACGCGAGCAATAACAATCCCGTCCGCTGTGAAGAGTGCATTGATCCGAGCCATCATTCACTCCACACCAGGCGAGCGATACTTCGATCCCTCAGAGGCGGGCGACACCAGTTTAGCACCTTCACTGACGGCTGAAGCAGGGCTGAATATCAAGCAGTCCTTGTGCTTGTGTGTGTGGCACATATGCCGTAAGCGAAACAGACGCCCGGGTGTCTCACGCACGGTCCGTCGGCAAAGGAACCCTTACTGCCAGTTGTTACAGTTGCAGAACAGCTCACGGCTGCCCAGTCCACCCACGCCCGGGCGCCAGCCATCACAGGCCTCGATGCCTTCTCTCTTTCCCCTGTGTATAGCTCGGCGGTACTCTGCGTACAGCTTTCTTCGGTTCCCCTCTCTGAAGTACTGCCGTCCAAAAGGAAAGTGATCTGAGTGCTATCAGGTGAATGTTTTAGGAAAAGCATTGCTCGGTTTCAGGGAATTGGACGTGCTTATCTTAAAACAGAAACTCGGACAAATTTTAAACGGAAATGTTTACAATCATTTCATTTGACTTCACAAGCTGCAGCTATTTCAGCTGCACCGAACAACATGAAAGCTGCATTTCGAAAAATGGCGCATAGAACTTTTTACCTTTGGATGGCAGAGTAATGGACAAAATGAAGATATGGTGACACTGTGACAGCAGTACTGCAGGCTTGTTCGTGGCAAAGGGTCAGTTATGATGCAAATGTCACCTCGCTGCCAGTCCCTAATGAGAATGCTCGACGCCTGCGCCACCTGCACATTTCATCCACCCGTATAACTGTGAGGCAATTCGGCGGAATGCGAGTCCACGTGCGAAAAACGCCAAGCTATCGCTCACGCCCACTCCGTGGTCAGTGCATCAGGCCATGCTGGTGACCGTGGAGCTCCCGGGAATCTGGATCCGACCAGCCGGCCGTCATCAGCGCCGCCGTGCGGGGCAGTACGCCGGAGTGTGAGGCTCAGTGGCAAGCGTGCCACAGAATGCGGTAATGAGGGCTCATTGACTGAGTTCGGAAAGTGCGGCGGCCGGCCGGCGGGCTCCTGGCGCGCGCCGGGCCGCAGTGCGGTGCGGTGTATCACGTCTGCCGGGGCGCGGTGGCCGGCGGACGGGCTCCTAGCGCGCGCCGGGCCGTAGTGCGGTGCGGTGTGCCACGCCCGCCGGGGCGCGGTGCTGACCTGCCGAGCGCTCCTCTCGACGTTGTTGTTGCCCGCCAGCCAGGTCAGCAGGAAGCTACACGTCTCCTGGGTCATGGCGGTCTCCGACGGCGTGCTGGCCGCCTTCTGAAACACCGAGCGGCAACGTCATCTTTCCCGACAGCTGGCAGACGCGGTCCGCGGCACAATTACGGCACACAGGGAGAGATGAACGAAGTGTCATGAAATGCCTGGAACGACGTGCTAGTGCGAATGAAACAGTTCTTCGGCCTATTGTTCTTGTCAGTGGTCTGCCTGCACAACGTTTCGGCCAGCAGTTTGCCCGACCGCTTTCAGACGCAGACTGGTCCTAGGGACATCAAGATGCTTGGCGCATGACAATGCATGCACGATCTCGATATCGTGATCGAAGTCCTGGGCTCAACGCTGGTCACTGCCATGCACAAACGCGATGCGTGCATACGCGACTGCCAGGCATTGTGTGAATGCGCTTCAGTGGCATCGATTCCGACTCCGACTCACAACACTCTGGTTTTGTCCCAGCTCTGACTTCGCGCACTTCAGTGCAGCTTGGAGTTCACTCCCATACCGCCTGAGGGAGGCTGGCTCTAATGTGGATGGAGTTTGTTCGGGCGTCAGCCTAGTTCAGGATTTTACCAGTACTATGACATTCACATAGGTCCAAACGGCCTTTCTTTTGACAATAACACAGTTAAACACACCGTGAGAGGCTGAATAGCCCAGATGTTCGTGTAACATTCGTGACGTTTGATGTTCACAGCAAGAAATTTCCTGACACTGTACCCGGCACGGGTGATCACAATCCTCCCGTTAGCCGCCCGCGTTTCGTGCAGTCCTTAGCGTAGTGCTGAGAATCCGGTGTTGAGGAGCGGAAGCTCGAATGATTGGCTAGTTCGACATCCTTGACGTGAGCAAGAAAGGCATCGAGTTCCTAGATTTTAGGTATTGTGAACTGGGAGTTCTTATTCTGCGAAAGATTTACTTTCACTATACCAGAAAGCACTGATTTAAACGACGCTAGCAGGCATTAGCAAGTTTTCTCAGTGTAGTCAATGCTTGCCTGCTAAATTTGTTCAACCAGCATCTCCTGGTATATCACAGGGCAATTTTTGATTTTTCACACCAGGCCATAGCCCACAATATGTTGACATTTCTATGGGAAGGTCTGAACAGATTCAGAACATCCCTGCACGAATGCCTTATTTTTTGATGATCTTTCTGCTTAGCCTTGTTCATTCGCGACCACAAGCACAGTTCGAAACGTTGAATTTGGCAATAGAATCATGCTTACTTGGTAACATGGTTTATTCAGTACCTCCTGGTACGCTGAAGGTCGATTACTACCAGCATATGAACTCCAAACTCAATGCCGAAAAACCAGAGGCTCACGGTCTTTCTTGGTTATATCACTTGCATCGTGATGCCCATGTCCTATTTAGCGGCTTGATCCACTCCGCTCCGACTTCTTTTTAAACGAAAATTGCAGAGGAATTGCCCATAACTCGACTCCATGCAATTCTGGTTGATCCTGAAGGCGGTTCCGACTCCACCCAGGATCAAGCAAGCTCAGTGGCTACAAGCCCTATACCCTCAGATGCTTCTACCAATAATCTGGCCTTTGACGGCGGACGGAGAGTTGGAATCAGTCCAAATGAGATGCCAGCTGGCGATAATCTGCTTGAAAAGAAACAGATCGCAAATACCATCACTCGTATGACCACATATCATCATGACGAATGATATTTGAAAAAATGTCCTACTGATGATACATATGCCATGAATGTCAAGTCCTATCAACAATTACACATTCATTACCATCCATCAACATGCACGGACGGCAGAAGCGATGTGTTTATAGTTATACACTATCAAAAAGATAACTGATAGGGTCGGAAGATTGAGACTGCCCGAAGTCCACGCAAAGCTTGAGTGTCCATACCGTGTCAAGGGGTTCCAAAACATACTACAGTCAGACCTTTGAAGGAGGTCCCGGAACAGCCGGTAGCGATGCACGACGGAGGAACGACATCCGAGAACAGCGGGTGATTGCTTACGGCGGAGGAGGAGGGCCAGGACCATGGACTGAATGGAAACGACGGCGGGGAGGGGGGTCCAAACCAGGAAACAGCGCCACACAGCGGGGCAAAGGGCGAGCCCGGACCAGGCAGACGGGGGACAATCGGCTAGCGGTGGGAAGATCGGACCATACAGTCGGCCACACATGGCGACGAGGATGGGGAGCCCCCCACAGGCGGGAGGCAGGGAGGCCACCCCACGGACCGCTGACAGCGGGCGTGCGTCCGGGCCCGGCTGCGGATCCCGCGCCTGTGGCGTCGGACCGGCGCCGGCTCCCACTGACCGCTGAGAGCGTGATGGCCTGACGGAGCCGGTCCGCCGCCTCCGAGACGGGGTCGGTGACGGCGGTGACCGCGGCGACGGCCGGCGGCCGTGGGCTCTGCTCCAGGCCGGCCAGCTCCAGCTCGGTGCCTGCGGCATCGGACAGGGACGCTGGTCACGCCGGGCCGCGCACTCGGCGCCGCTCGCGCTGGGGCAACGCCCGGCGCCAACTGAGCGCAGGAGTCCACCGCCACATAAAAGCACATCATCACCACTGGGGCAGCACCACGCACACACACACACATGAGAGCCGCCGTGCAGCACTGGGGACCACGGTCGTACGCCACACGGAGAGACAGCACCGCGCGCGACGGAGGACCGCCGAAACACTGCCCCGCGCAAACGCATCGGACAAGCGGCCGAAGATGCGCCGCAAATCGCCGGCACACCGCACACGCCTCGTTCAGCCGTCTCCATGGCGTCTGGTCACAGTCTTCCTGCAGCGGGCGCCGTATCTGGCGGCCTCCGGTCCAGCCGCGCGTGTCCCCGCTCCCGGACGAGGTGGCCGGCCTCAGCCTGCAACGCGGCGCGCTCTGCCGGCCCTATCGCACGAACGCCAGCCGCCGTCTGCCCCGATGACATCACACGCACCGCGGTGCCGGCTGCGGTCTGCCGCCGCCCGTCCCCATTCGTCACGTGTGACGTCACCGCCCGTCTCTGATGACGTCACACACGCACCGTCTCGCTGTCGTGCCGTTCCGCCAGTGCAACACTGAACTCCGCGTCCGCCGCAAAAAAGTATGTGTCGTGTGGTGCACTCCTGTCACGATCCGTGCAGCGTCAACGAGGTGAAGGTGTACGCGGAACGCGATATGAGAGATCGTATATCGTTCCGTATCACGCTGAACATGTCAATAAAACCATGTATGTTTGCATGTTTCGACACATACTATCTGCATGTCACTTGTAAATTGAACCTTCTTCATTAAACATGCAAGTCAAGCCGCAAAAACCCATGAACTCAGTCATTCTTGCAATCGCAGTCACCTTAAACTCTTTCCAGACTGCTCCGTTCGTGGACGTACGACGAGGGAGGTTCAGCCTTTCTGTGACGTCAACTCACGGCATATCTGATCGGTCCCTTCCCTTATTGTCTTTGCAACGCTCTGCACGCCGCCGGGAGCACACTTCTGCGCGAGAGCAGCCCTGCCAGATCTGAAAGTACGCGACTTCGCAGAGCACATTCAATACAAGTCGTGACTACGCTACCCGGTTCACCTATTGTTTTAAGCATGCGAATGCAGCAGCCACAACTCACAAGCGACGTCCACTCTCTCACCGACTGCGGCGAGAAAACAAAACACGGCCGACGCTCGCCGCCACCCACGACTTCGCGGCTATAAGCCCCGCTGTTGACATATGAGCCAAAGCAGTGCGTGCGATCCGCAGAGACATCAGTATAGCTGAACTCAGCAGGAACACCGCGCTCCGAGGTCACGCCAGACAGCAGATGGTGTGGGCCGGGCCCTTCCGTCGGATCCCGTTACCCAGCACCTCCATAAAGACTGAGCACTGATTAGGTGCGGTATGCACAGCACCAGGAATCCAGCATCAGCCCGGCGCCAAGAGACACACCACCCGACGAAGCCTACACCGGACCGGTTCCGCGCAGATGTAGCAACGCTCAAGCCAGCTGATTGTGCGGCACGGGCTTGGACAGGTGTCCAACTGTGGAGCTGTTCAGACAGGCGGCTGCTTGTCATTTGCTCCCATGAAAACATCGCAGTGCATTCGAAACAGTGAGCAAAATGTGTGCGACAGGGCCTCACCACCGGTACGTCAGACAGTTTTGTTTACAGAGCTGCATCAAACCGTGGTCTACATCAACGGCGCATGGCAAGCACGTCAAGCATTAAATTGCTCATAGCGCTTGGGCGATAACGTTTATTGCACCGAACGTCCAGTTGAGTGCAGCACAACTGCCCAATCCGGCACACAGCAGCCCCGCCTCGTGTTAAAAGTTGGGACTGTGGTTGTCTTAGAATGAGCCCATTTCCACGCGACGCTGGTAGGCGTAGTGCGGAATTCTGCACCGTAAGGCGGACTTGCCCGATCCATCTCCACAGCAACCCGGAGCGCAGTGTGCTCTTCCAAGGTTAGGGGATAGGCGTAACGCGCAGCCCGTCCACCCAGCCCGCAGTCCGCAGAACGTGCAGTGCCGAGGCGGCACAGAGCAACCATGGGACCATTCAGACCAGCAGCTCACTTCGACCAGTTAAACCAACGGATCAGCCAGACCAACGAATCCGCCAGACCAACGGATCAGCCGTATCAACGGATCAGTCACACCAACGGATCAGCCAGACCAACGGATCCGTCAGACAACGGATCAGCCAGACCAACGGATCAGTCACACCAACGGATCGGCCAGACCAGCCAGCGCAGGGGCCGGCCTGGTGCGGCCCCGCGGCGCCACCCACCGGCGATGATGCTGTCCATCTGCTGCAGAGCTGTCTCCAGCATGCGACTGGCCTCCTCGTGGTGGTTGGTGTCGCCGCCGCGGGTCGCCATCAGGTTCGGTTTGTCGCCACGCCGTGACGCCCCACCGTACACCATCTGACCGCTCGGGCGCCGGCCGGTCGCGGCTCGCTCGACCTGGGGAGGGACGGCCGGAGTGAGGCGCACGCCGCTACCCGCTCCGCTCGGGCGCCGGCCGGTCACGGCTCGCTCGACCTGGGGAGGGACGGCCGGAGTGAGGCGTACGCCCCTACTCGCTGCACTCGGGCACCGGCCGGCCGCGGCTCGCTCGATCAAGGGAGGGACGGCCGGAGTGAGGCGCACTCCGCTGCCCGCTGTGCACCCACTGGTCTCCGCTCCGGTGGCCGACACACTGCGGAGCGACGACCACCGCTACCCACCAATCGCACACAATCTGTACATTTCTTTGACGGACGACCGGAATTAATGAGAGGGGAACGGTAAAAAAGACCGGGCATTGCATGCAGCACAAAGCCAAGTGTGACTCACTGGTGATCCAGGCAAGAGTAACACACCACCGAAGCTGGGGCAGTGCCCGCGCAGATCGTCGAAAACGGGGTCTAAACCGTTCTTATGGTAATCATCTGTACCGTTCCACAAGGATTCACGTCACACAGGTCATTTACGGTCTTCGCGGGGCCCCGTCGGCGAAGTCCGCCCCACCACCGCACTGAGCGCCGCCGCCGCCGCCTGCTCCACACCTCCACCCCGGTACACAAGGCGCCCCCCGCCGCCCGACACCGCGCCGCTCGGCCGGCCGACTGTGGCGCGCCGCGCGCCGCCGTGCGCGGCCCGCTTCCGGCCGCCACCCGTCTCCAGATGCGGCGCACCCGGTCCCAATCGGCGCACCCCACACGTGCCGCTGCCGCCGCCACACGCGGAGACGGTGCGGGCGCGCACAGCTGCCGCCGCGCGCGTCGATACTGGCTCGAGTGGAGGCGATGCGGGTCGGTGGGGTCGCGCAGCGCGGGCGGCGCCGGCGGGGATCCGGGCGCCCATCCGCGCCGCAGCACCGGTCAGCGGCGGCGCTGGCGGGGATCAAAGAACACACCCGCGCCGCTGATGCCTGGGGAAGGGGGGGGGGGGGCACCGTTGTCTGTCTGGTGTTTTGAGCACGGAGCTGCTCGGCTCGTCAGACGCCGCCACCGCGGAGGGGAGGTCGTTCAGCGACGGCGGCGACTGCCCGCGTGAATGCCAGTGTGATTACCAGTAATGAGGTGTGCGGTTCAGGCGTGCGCAAGTGCAGAAGTTCGGCGCCGGTGCGAAACAGACTGACATGCTACGGAGCAAGTCGGATGCAGTTTATGGAAGGCAATCAGTCAGAAGTGATGTCTGCTGGAAACCCGACGTCAGCAATGCGTGCTGGTTTGTCAGGACTCGGTGTCTGCCGCGCCAACACCAGAGAGCATCGAAGCTTTCATTCTTGATCGCGTTTGACCCAGTCACAGAGAGAACTGGACGTGTAAGGACAGGGTCAAGTTCAACGAACAGTTGACACGGCCGCTCCGGTGTTTAAATATTCCTCCATTTCCGACCTCAGTCCGAGGTCAGCTATTCAAAGCGCAAGCCCTGAATGCCTCGGCATCGAACACGTCTCAGCCGGTCAGCTTTGCACGTGGTCGGCGCGGTAAGCCGGCGATCGGTGCACCCCGGTGCCGGGGCGCGCTGCCTGCCGCGGCAGCACCGCTCAGTATCGGCCGCGCAGGCTGAAGCCAGGCAACCTCGTCCGTCCGAGCCTTGCCCCGTCCGGGTCTGGGTCAGGTCATGGCCCACGGCACGGGGTCAGGTCATGGCCCACGGCCCGCAGTCAGGTCACGGCCCGGCGTCAGGTCACGGCCCACGGCCCGGAGTCAAGTCACGGCCCACAGCCCGGCGTCAGGTCACGGCCCACAGCCCGACGTCAGGTCACGGTCTACGGCACGGAGTCAGGTCACGGCCCAGAGCTCGGCGTCAGGTCACGGCCCACGGCCTGGAGTCAGGTCCCGGCCCACGGAACGGAGTCAGGTCACGGCCCACGGCCCGGCGTCAGGTCACGGCCCGGCGTCAGGTCACGGCCCACGACCCGGAGTCAGGTCACGGCCCACGGCCCGGCGTCAGGTCACGGCCCACAGCCCGGCGTCAGGTCTTGGCCCACGGCCCCGGGTCAGGTCACGACCCACGGCCCGGCGCAGACACTAGCGACACGTCGGCAGCCGCCGGCAGCAAAAGCGTGACGCGGGTTGCACCTCCCAGCACCCCGGGACGCACGCCGAACGCCCCGGCACCCCCGCACGGTCAACAGCACCTCTCGGCGCCGACCGCCGACCGCACCCGCGCCCTGCCGGGGGATGCGTGCCTGCGTTACAGACAATGCACTCGGAAGCCGCTCGTGCGGTGTGTGCCCGTCCGGCGGGGTGACGACCGGCCAGTTCGCGCCGGCAGCGGCGGGTGGGCACCTTGCCCCGGAGGTGCCGGGGCCGTGCAGACAGCCTCGAGGCCCGGTGACGTGGCAGAGGTCTGTCAGCGACAGCAGGCTGGGACGGCTGATTGCGCCAGCCGAACGCGGGCGGCCGGCGAGAGCCAGTGGGTGGCAGTTCCGCTCAGCGGCCGGGGGCATCACGCGAGATCCAGCCGGGGTCCGGGTGGGGGGTCAGCTCTGGTCCACCGGGCATCGGTGATGGACCAGCTCTGGTCCGCCGGGGTCCGGTGATGGACCCAACTCTGGTCCAGCCGAGGGTGCCGGTGGGGAGCCAGTTCTGGTCCAGTCGGGGTGCCCGTGGGGGCCAGCTCTGGTCCAGCCTGGGCGCCGGCGGACCAGCTCTGGTCCAGCCGGGGTGCT